AAAATGACTGTAAAATTTTTACATACAACATATGTCTGGAAGTTGGCATGTGGGTGGAAGAGTGAGAGTCAGACACAGCTCTTCCATTTTATTACATGTCAGACATTATTTTTCCCTGCTCCCACACACACGCATCAACACAAACGTACACATATCCTCACTCTCGCACGCTTTATGCCTCCTGACATGAAATGTGTTAATAAAGCAGGTCCAACTAATCGATCCTTTTGGCCATGCAAACTGTCTTTCTAGTGCTTCCTTACTAAAACCTACAATTAGGGGCGCCTGGGTGGCTCAGTCGTTAAGCGTCTGCCTTCGGCTCAGGTCATGATCCCAGGGTCCTGGGATCGAGCCCCGCCTCGGGTTCCCTGCTCAGTGGGAAGCCTGCTTCTCCCTCTCCCACTCCCCCTGCTTGTGTTCCCTCTCTCGCTGTGTCTCTCTGTGTCAAATAAATAAATAAAATCTTAAAAAAAAAACACCAAAAGAAAAGAAACGGGAGCCCTTGTGCACTGCTGGTAGGAATGTCAAATGGGGCCATCACCTTAGAAGACAGTCTGGTAGTTCCTCAAAAGGTTAAACATAGCGTTATCATATGATTTGGTGATTCTACTGCTAGATACATAATGAAGAGAACTGAAAACTTATGTCTACAAAACACTTGTACACCAATGATTATAGTCAAAAAAAGGAAGCCACCCAAATGTCCCTCAACCGCTCAATGGATCAACAAAGTGTGCTCTATCCACAGAGTAGATGATTATTCAGCAATAAAAAAGAACAAAGCACTGAGATATGGTGGACCCGCTGGTACATCAGTGGCAAGGATGAACCTTGAAAACATTATGCTCAGTGAAAGAAGCCAGACACAAAAAGCCACATAGTTATGAAATGTTCAGAATAGGCAAATCTTTAGAGATAGAAGGTAGATTAGTGGATGCCTGGGGTTGAGGGGAGGACAGTGAGGAGCGGCTGCTAATGGGGATGGTGTTTCTTTCTGGGGTGATGAAAATGTCCTGGAACTAGAGTGGAGATGGTCCAAACCTTTGTGAATCATTAAAAATCCCTGAATTGTTCACTTTAACAGGGTAAATTTTATGGTGTGTGAATTGAATCTCAATTAAAATAATGACCCTCTGTGAGATATACATACATAAAACTCAGAAATGACAGAGGTACATTCTTCCCCAACTTTGCCTCTTATTTTTATCTTATTCTCCATATTGCCTTTTTAGTCATATGTATATTTGTGAAGCAAATTAGGACCTTGTTATACATACAGTTTTGTTACTTTTTCTACTTAATATGACCTGTTCATATTTTTCATCATTGGAAGTAAGACAAAAATTCCCAAACTGACTTCTTAAGTAATATAGCAAACCCAAAAGTCATAAAGAAAAAGATGGATAACTTGACTGCATAAAACTTAAACATTTCTTTCTATATGGTAAAAAGATGCCATAAATAAAAAGACCAAGTAGGAGAAGCTATCGGAAACATTTCTAATAAAAGGTTAATATTCCTGTATTAGGGATTAAGGATCCTATAAATTGATTTAAAGATGAACAACACAAGAGAAAAATGGGCAAAGACGTAAAGTGGCAAGTCACAGGAAGGGAAATATAAATGGCACATACACATGAGAAAAGATGTCAACCTCATTAGTTATCATCTTTTACCCAGCAGATGGTCAAAATTTAAAAGGACTGGTAACAGCCAGTATTGGCAAGAGCAGGGGGGATGGACATCCATAAATTGCTGAAGGATACAACCTTTTGCGGAAGTAGTTAGGGAGTAGTTCACAGATAAGCATCACCTTTAACCCCCTTTGGGGATTCTAACCCACAAAAATAAAAGCACCACTACTAAATATGTTCACAAAAATGTTTATTGCAGCAATTTTTATAAGAAGGGGAAAAAACTGGAAACACCTGGACTGTCAGTTGATAGATGGTAGCTATGAGAGCTATAAGCTGTGATTTGTGGGACCCATGGATATTAAAGAAGTATGCTTTAACCCGATGTGACTGACCTAGAGGCATGCACATAGTAGAACAGCTCTGTAAAGGAAGCACGTTGCTGAGTAATTGTACAGTAAATGCCATTAAACTAAAACTTTAATGGGGATATGTGTTTGTATTTTGTCGCAGGCACAGAGGGAGCCTGTTAAATTTGGTATGTTAGGGGCTGGGTATGTTGTGTTTGATTATTTCAAAGAAGAAAGTAATTTTAAAGAGCTGATTGTTGAGAAAGGACAATATTGTGCTCGCTGAAGCTCTCTTCAAAGCCAGGGGACAGTTAAAAAGGAGGAGAGAAGTCGGGATCGGTGAGGCGCTACTATAACCAGAACACCTTACTGACTGTAAGGAATGCTGATACTTTCCTTTTGATCTAACATTTGGCTCCTGACTGAGGTGGAGGAAGGGAGGCTGGGAAAGAGCCTGGCCCATCTGTCTGGAGCACTGGACAGGTGCCTGGCCGGAGGTGAGAACTCTATTTGGTTTCTGACTCCAGTGTCTCCTTGGGCTTCACTCAGAAGGGGAGTCACCTGAACCTCTTACAAGAACAGATCAGGGCAGGATCAGACCAACAGATGTTGGCCTCTTCTCGATCAGTTCAGTTCGGTTCAGTTCAGAAAAACGAGTGACAATTCACATTGTGAAGGAAGGATTTGCCTTCAATGTTACTACTGGGGACCACGCTTCCACTGGGGTCAAAGTAACTCCTGGAAGCAAGTTACTAACTCAAAGAGGAGAAGTCATGCTGAGTCCCTGAGACCTAATCTCTACTCTAGGAAAACTAAAATGTCAAACTGGGGTGAAGTTTACTTTTACTCTAACAACGCTGTCCAAATGCCCTCCTGAAGGGGGCTAAATGTGATTCTTGAAACGGCATAGAGCTCTGGTAAAGGTTCCTGCTTTCAGTGTTTAGAAATTAAAAGAACGTATTTTTTTTTTGAAAAGTAAAAGTAAAAATATTTTTAAAGCGCTGGTATTTTTCACGATTTTTTATAGGTTGCACGAATTGTCCTTTTGACTGGTTCATTTAGAACAGAGACGTTCTAAAGGTAGACAAGTGATGTGGCCCAAACACACAGGAAAAACACATGTGCTCTTGTTGGTGGCATTTAACTTGAAGAAGTGACTTTAAACTCTCTTTTGGGAGACGAGAGAGACAAAAGGAGATGATCAGAAACTGACAGTTCCTTGAACATACGCAAATACCATGACAACACAACCCCTTCAGCTTAATGGTGGGGCTCCTCTTAGGGGAGAGACAAAGATAAAGACATTTGTCCTTTTCTGCAGACACCAATCCTCAGCAAGATAAATCATTATGCTGATGAACCTGACCCAGGGACTAGGCTTCTGGATCAGGGGCGCTTAGGAACAATGTCAGGGGAAAAAAAGAAAACCTCCCCTAAGTTATGACGAAAGGAAGAGAAAGGAGTGAGGAAAGAGAAAGCGCAAATCTTAGCTGGGGGGCGGGGGGCACACAGGTGGCCCTGGTTTGGGGCACTGGGCACAACCCAAACCTGAGGGGACAGGGTGTATTCTCAGACAGGAAGAGCTCCCATTCAAATCTCCTTTATAATTTCTTTGAGCTACATTAAATCCTTGCAACATGTTTCTGTTTTTCTCCATTCCGCACCCCCCCCCCCCCCCCAGGCAGTAACAGACGAGCCGGGAGCGGGCTCGCTAGCAACATGAGGAAGTGAACACAGGGCATCTCTGCCGTGGCCACAGGGAGCTTTGGGATCTATTTTCAAAACATGCCCTAACTAAAACCTCACGTGCTTCTTACCAGTCTTGCAGAGGCTGAATCCACCGCACATGGCTCTGTGAAAAGGCACCTCACCCCCTGTGGCATTTCTGCTGTCTGGTTGGGTTAACATCCCTGCTCTCCTAGGGGCCAATATCCCGGGAGTGTGCCCGGGGGCCGAGGGTGCAGGCCTAAGCAGCTCTGAGCAGGGGCTTCTTTGAGCAGGGGCTTCTCTGAGCAGGGGCTGCTCACCGGGCCTGCTCCCGCTGCTCCCAAGGCAGCTCTGAGACCCAGGGGGCAGTGTCAGGTTGGTTCCTTGTCAATCAGCCAGACAGTGCCAGATCATGACACAGGACCCCCTCAGATCTTTGCAGGGGCCTCTCATGTTACAGAGGGAAAGGGGAGATGAGGGGGCGTCTATTCTTTTCTCTCCTCAGCCATGGGAGTGTTGCTCACGGTGGGGCTGGTGGTGTTCCCGCTCCATCTCCTGGCATTGGTAAGATGGAGGGAGCCTTTGGGAATTTTTATCTACAGAGCACGGGAAGGCACTTTGCTTTCAGGGTGAGCAGAAACTGCTACTCACGCCCACTCCTCCTCAAAGTGACCTCTCATCATTGGTGGGGAGCTCAGGAAACGATATGCTACACAGTTGTGTGTGCCTGACTAGGGTGCTCCTGCAGGGCCCCTGGGAACCAGGATGGAGGGGGAGCGGTCTGTCGCCTGCACTGCAATGGACAAGGGATGGCCCCGGGGACTCCTGCTGACAAGGAAAACTTAAAGGGTGCTGGATGAGCACCTGTTATTGTGGGTCTGTCTAGTGTCAATCAATCAATTTTGAAAGTGATTCTCTATTTTCTTTCACCCTGAAGGGGTGCAGCGCCAGGATGAGGGTGATGAGTACGGCACCCTTTCAAAGCAGATGGAGAAGGAGACAGGGAGGAGGAAGGGGGAGATCTGAAGTACCCGGGCATGCTTTCATGCATTAGACTGAACTTTTTTTTTTTTTTTTACTAAGCAGCTCGCCTCTGCTTGTTGAGTACCAAAATCTAGATCAAATTTCAAGTGCCTTCTAGGACAAAAGTGGTTAATTTGGAATAACTCTGAAGCATCCTGCCTCTGTGGATGGGGAAGGCAGTCCCTTTCCTGGAACCTTTAATCTGGGAGTGCTGGGGCAGCAGGTAGAGTCCAGATAAAGGACTGCAAGAGTGGATCACATGCTTGAATTTATGCGGGTTCCCTACCTCCTGGCCCCTGTCCTGCACGGGACACGACTCACTGTCTGCTTCCGAGAACGATCCGGATTCGTCGCTGGAGTTGGTTCCATAAGACTGCTCACATTTAATTTGGGGTCGGACTTGGTTGTACATTCCATCTCCCATCAGGCCTGGTTCCTGATGTTCTGTGGCTAGGAATCTGGCTCCCTGGGAACAGGGCGAGGAGGAGAACTCACAGAGAGGGAGGCTGCAGGGTGAGCCCCCGCTCCCATCCTCTGCGTAGGAATAGGAGGAGCATGAGCTGGAAGTCCTGGTCCTGGTCTCCAAGGGGGGCGAGCGAGGGCAGACTTTGATCGGCACCGGGCAGCTAGTGTTGGGCCGTATCCTTCCTGGCAAATGGTCAGCCATCAGCCCACCGTGGGCGTAGGCCTGTGAGCTGGGGAGGGACTGGCCAGCCCCCACCCACAGACCCTTTGGCACCGGCTCGGAGAGGTCTTTGTCCAAACTGCTTACCCCAGAATACGAATGCACCGCAGTGCTCACTTGGTCACAAGCGCTCGAGGAGAAGATCACACTTCTCCGGTCCAGCTCTCCTTCCTGTTTACAGAGAGCCTCCAACCCAGGCCCCTTGAGGGGCGACCCCATGGTGAAGTTGGACGGGTCCTTCTGGCCCAGGTGGGGCTGTCCGTAATTCCCCGGGAAAGGGGCGTAGTCAGTTTTAAGGTCACCCTGAGTGATCCCCTTGTCAAAAGGGCACGCTGAACTCCTGGCAAAGTGCTGCTGAGAGGTACTGGGCAGGCCAGACAACTCCACACTATTTTTTATGCTGAACAGAGACCTTAAACAGGAGGGGGAAGACACGCTCCTGGATCTCTCCAGGCAGGTGGCCCCGGCGGCGGGGGCGGGGCCGGGGGCGGGGCTGGGCTGTTTCCGGTCCATTTCGATATCACCCGCTCGTTCCTTGCTGTCAGGCTCATCTCCGGACAGGCAGAGCGTGATGCTCTCTTCCTCGTTCTCCTCACTGGGCGGCTCACTTTTAATCTGCCCCACGGCAAGCCCCGGCTTGAGGCTGTTGCTAGAGTTCTCTTCACTGAATGTGCTTGCAAAACCTGAGGTACTGTGTGATGATGCATTGTAGACATTCTTGGTACATGCAAGCTGGTATTTCTTGTATCTGGGGTACTGTGTTAACGCGTCCTTTTCAGAGCTCTCCTTGGTGTCGGCCGGCACATCCGACTCGGGCAGCAAAGCTTCTTCCTTCTCGGCTACTGGGATGGCGGTGGCCTCAAAGCTGATGGGGTCTGGAAGCATCTGGTCCCTGGGGCACGCCATCTTGGCCGTCTCGGAGTCCATCGTCTCCTCCTCCTCCTCCTCCTCCTCTCCCGCGGAGTTCTCACGGTCCTCGTGCGGGCGCTGGCACGCCGTGTCCTTCCGGCACACGAACAGGCCATCCTCACTGTTCAGGAGCTGGGTCTGCAGGAAGCTGAAGCAGGAGTCCTCCAGGTTATGCATGCGCAGGAACTCAGCACAGCGGATGACCTCGCGGATGTTTTCTCTGCTGAGTAATAGTTTGGCAGTGTAGGCAAACTGTAGCAGAGGCCCAAAGCCCCTGGCCGTGACCTGCAAAACAAACAGGGAAATTGCCGACGTTACCATCAGCACGGCTATTGTCCCAAATCCCTCAACTGAAGCAAGATAACCAGACAGTGCTAATGTCCCAGAATAGAGACTGCAAAGGAGCAGTTAATCTCGCACTGGGTCAGCAATGCTTCTGCCTCCAATAATTAGTGCCTGTCTCGTGCATGCCTCGCTCCCCTTCATCACCTGGCACATGGCATTGAAAATCACCAGGGTCAAGTGGCTAAACAAGATGGCAACGGGCTCAGTGTTTACGCTAATGAAATATCCTGGCAAAAATGCACGGTAACAATGGGAAGCCTATTAATTTCCCTCCCAATCAGTCCCGTGGAGAGCCCTTCTAGTAAGGAGAGCTGTGACACTTGCAGCTCACTCGAGCCAAAGAAAGCATTCTATTCTTTTTCTGGGCAACTGCAAAACTGGCAATATGGCCTGTTAAAACCTGAAAGTCCACAGGGGTTGAAAAACAGTTTTCCCTCACTTAACAAGTTAAAGAGTGACATGAAAGCAACTTCTGTTTTTCTCATTCATCAGGGTTTCCAGATGGGACTTTTCAGTCATCACGTCATACCTGACCTTACAGGGATACCAGAGATGACGACAATCCAAAGCAGTGTTCTCAACCCCAAAATCAACTCCTGGCTCAGAAAGAATGGGGGTTACACAACTAAACAAACCGGCTGCCATTTAAATGGTTGAAGTTGCTGAGCAGCACAGGACACAGGCTACTCCTTCCCTAATTATGAGCGGCGGCTTTGCCAGGCAGCTGTCTCCCTTCCTGCTCAATCTTCAGAAGCTCAGCCTACTAATGTCAGGTGCTCCTCATGCTTTACATTTTATCGACTGAAAATGTGCTATTTTTGCGCTGTGAATTGTGCAAGACTGTTGAATCACAGATCTGTACTTCTGAAACAAATAATGCAACCTATGTTACGAAAAAAGAAAAAGAAGAAGATAGCAGGAGGGGAAGAATGAAGGGGAGTAAGTCGGAGGGGGAGACGAACCATGAGAGACGATGGACTCTGAAAAACCAACTGAGGGTTCTAGAGGGGAGGGGGGTGGGGGGATGGGTCAGCCTGGTGATGGGTATTAAAGAGGGCACGTTCTGCGTGGAGCACTGGGTGCTATGCACAAACAATGAATCATGGAACACTGCATCAAAAACTAATGATGTAATGTATGGTGATTAACATAACAATAAAAAAATAAAAAAAAAGTTAAAAAATGTGCTATTTATGCACGGCTTTGCATCCGCGTACACGCCCCTATACATGCACAGGGTGACTTAGACAATTAGAAATACCTTGCCTAAGGCTGTTTTCTCATATGGGAGGGGATTAAACTTGCCAGTGTTCAGGGCAGGCTTCCTCACCCTATATGCAAGCCTACATGCATCTTCTACGTTCTTGCAAACACTGCTGATCCCATAGGAGGGGGAGGCAGATCTGCAGATCATGTGTACAAATCGAATGAAAGCAGCCAGCACGGGGTCCTTGCTGGAAGCTCTAGGAGCAATAATATCAAAATATCTGTTAAGGGTGTCGGTGCAGAGCAAGTTGAACTGGCCAGCTCTGTAGCTGACTTCCACATGTGTTGAATTCACGGCAGCACACAGAGCCAAAACTCCTGTGAGGACTTCTATCCGTTGTTTGCGATTCAACATGGACACCACCTTCTCCGGGAGCGGTCTCCCAACCTCTTAGAACAAATGATACCAGCCTCTCAGCCCCATCGCTAGGGTGAGGAAAATGCCCTGGATTGTTCAGGGGAGCACTGAACATGCGGCATTCTTTCCAGCCAGGGACATTTCTTAGATATATAACTGAATGGGATTTTAATTGTTCGTATTTTGGAAGGACTTTAAATAAAATTACAAATTTAAAAAACAAAAAACAAAAAAAACCCTCTGTCAGTTAATGAGTCCCAAGATATTTGGTTAAAAAAAGAACACAACAGAAAAACATGACCGCTAGACTCACATTATAGTTCCACAAGGGCAATCATTGCTATCTGACTTTTATTATACTTAATTGGGTCTGTTTCTACCGTTAGACAGCAAGCTCCTTCAGATCAGGGATGGCTTCATTTCTCTTTATAACTCTGCATCTGATTAGGGTCTCTAACACGGTGTACAGCCGAAGAAAGCTTGTGTGGTGCTGAAATGTTGTAAGTCTACCCGTGCCTCTAACATACAACTACAGTGTACAGAACGTAACAACACGGTCTGTTTGGCGAGTATCGTCTCAAATTACTTTTGGAGCGAGTCACTGTGTAAACCAATAAACCACACCAACCGACCAGTCAGGGCACAGCAACAGTCCTTATTTGTCCTAACCCCAAGTACCACTATCGAAACGGAGCTCATCTGACCTACCTTTGTGTCCTACTAAGCTGACATGGTAATAGATGCACCAAATGCAGTATCTACTATATCTGTTTTATGTATTTTCCCCCAGGAACCTTTCAAAGGGAGTGCAAGGCAAGGAAGTACACATTTACAAGTAACCAAAGGAAGCATGGGAATGTCACATGACCCATTCCTTCGCTGTAATGTGACTGTGCAACAAAGAGAAGAATGGCCTAATCAAGGCACTGTTGACCCCTCCATAAGGAAGCATTTTCTGCTCCGCTCCCACGCAATCTGCCAGTTGCTGAATGGAAACACACATCTCGAGTTTGGGTAGATGTGCCGCGGCATATGGGAAATGGGGGAAACATTTATATTTTTTATAAAGTCTTCCCTTATGGTCATTCCCTTTTTATTTCAATGCCATTGGTCTCAATAAGTCCTGACACTGTCCCCCACTATAGCTGTTTTAAAGAAAATTCCTAGAGAAACCAGGAACACCCCTGGGGATGATTAGATCAGTCATGGGCATCGCCACCTGCCACATGGCTACAAGGAGCTGGAGAACACGCCTCTCCATGCAGGGACAAGCTGATGCGAAAATGTATGAGTGGGACCGAGGATGCCAATGAGCAGAGTCTCCACATCCCAAATCACATCACCGATCCTTTTGGGCTGAGGAGACATGATGAGCTTGAAAAGATCATCATATGGTCATTAAAGAGTCATGACTAAAAGCAGGATTGTAAACTGTCATTCAAGTTCAAGGTCAGAGGAAATGGTGCCTTCACCATGAAATTTCAAGAGTCCATAACTAGCTCTCCCCTCACACGAGTTTAAATCCTGCCTGGTCATATTCAGTTCTGCTAAATTTTTGCTCAGTTTCTATGTGCAAGGCTTTGTCTAGTTACCATCTACCAAGTACTCCTAGTGCCCAGCACCATGCTAGCTGGTTCTCATAATGCACTGCAAAGCAGGTGTTGGAGACAAGGAAACAGAAGGAAGGAGGTGAAGGAATTCGTTCAAGGTCATAGCGCTGGGATTCCCACCCAAGTGCCATAAGGAACAGGTAAGTACAAGACCAGGCCCCGTGCCCAAGAAACCTACCACGTAGCTTTGTAGATACACCTTAACAATGGAAAGTTAATTATCAAGTAACAACATCAGTCAACAATGGAAAGGCTATCACAAGATTACATAATGATTAGTTGTCAACTGAGAAATCCCGACCAGTTCAAGAGAGAAGGCGACTGCTGAGGTCTGTGGGGATCCCTTGAATCCTCATAAGCAGGACACCTGGAGTGCTGTGAAATCGCCGTAAGTCCACTCTGGGTCAAGAGCTGCTTCGATATAACGGGTACGTCTGAACGGCTCGGTGTCCCTCCCAGGAACCCATCTCTGGTACACTATTTAGGCCAGCTACGATAACTCCAAATACACAGAACAGAAAGCAAGTGCCCTTCACACCTGCAGGCCATGTCAAATCAGGTAGAGGCTTTCTAAATACTGGTTTTAGCCTCCATCTTGGTAGCCTGCACCGTCTTTCCATTTTTAGGAATCATTTAAACTCACTCAACTGTACTCAGAAAGCAAATATCCAGGTACCAATGGAACGCCATATGTTTATGAAACCGTGATCACAAGGCTGCATTGTTATTTACTTTCTGTTTTTAATAAGTAAGGCTCTGATAATGGGAAAAATAAGAAGGGGTGGAAAGTGGAGAATCACATATAAAACTAATGACCCATAAAAAGGTTATTTAAAAAGGTAATGATCATAGAGTTAAAGTGGAATGACGTGGCTAGAAATAGCAAACCGGTTCCATTTCACTGATGGGAATGGAGCTGTATTCCACTGCTCTCTTGCCCTCTGCTTGCTCCCAAGCAGGTGATGACCTTCTCCAGCAGCTGGCACACACAAGGCAAGTGGCCTTGACCTTTGGGTTTCAGGTCTGAAAGAAACAAGGTCACACTACCGAACCCGTGTGCTATGGTGTGAGTCCACATGAGGATAATGTGTTGAAAATCTGACCCACTGAAACTATGACCCTTAACCTTTTGTTCCCATGGGTTCTGGCGCATCCTCTCTATGCTGTTGGTGAAAGGAAGATGAACTGATGAACAGTCAGCTGGTGAGGGGCACGTTTGGGTGCTGTTTGCAAAGCTCCCTCTCCGGAAGTACCGGGTTTGCTGCTGGAGAGAGCCCCTGAAAGGAAACATCTAACAGTTTCCTCGCTCTGGATTATTACAGGGATCAGGCAGGGGGGCTTCAGGTGTCTACTGAAAACAGGGCTTGGGAATTTTTAGGAGACTTGGAGCAGCATTCTCTACTTAAGCCAAGGTCTTCTCAGTAGGTTCTCGCAGGACATACACGCGGTTGCAGCACTGAGCTCATCTGCAGAAGGCTGATCAGATGAATGGGGAGCTCTCAGGACTGTTTTCTAGGGGAGGGATGGCACACTTCTCAAGGCTGCTTAACTACAGCCTTACAAAACACAGAATCTTTTACCTTCAGCCACATCATGCATACTTCCCCGATGAAGCTGGATCTCTTATACACGTGGCAGGGGCTGGGAAGACGACAGTAACAAAGCTATGCTGGATGGCTTTTTAATACACTGAGCCACGGCCATCC